TCGTCCTTGATCTCCTCAACCAGACCCGCACTCCCAGGATCACCAGGATGACTCCAGCAGCACCAGTGACACCAGTGATCACTCCGACAGGAGACCAGTGATGAGGAGGGTCTGATGTAGGAAACACAGAGGAGACAAAACAGAGCTCATCATACCTTCAAGAAGACATGAGGAGTCTCTACTGATAGAGATACTGACCAGCAGACACACCTGTGATCTCTCTGCACAGGACAAAGAACAGTAAAAACTCTTCTACGCTCGAGAATGTCCTGGGGTTAAAAACCTCACACTGAGAACAAGATGTCAAAGTCCACAACAACACAAGCCTGTGGAGAATTTGGGGAGTTTTCCTGCACCCTCTGTCCAGTCTCATCGTTTACAGGGGAACACTTGTCACCGACAGCTCTCCTTCTGCGTGATATACGCTGGTCCTGTTGTTTCATCTTGCCAAGTTCTTCATCTGAGAGTTATGAAGACAGAGTCACATTTACTCAACAGCTATTGAAGTATTTAATCCTCAGTACTGAGGGAGTGAACAACCCGTTAATGAGAGAGATTCACACAGGTGTCATGGCAGTATGAGACAGTTAAACTAGTCTTGAACCTGTAAGAAGTCAACCCTTGTCCAGCTGGACTGGAAGAGACTCCTTCCTCATTCACACTCCAGTTTTCTACAGTGTAAAAGCACAAGGGATGAGGAGCAGAAAAACACTCACGAGTTTGCGATGACTGATCTGATCTCTCACAGCAAGGAGAATATCCTGACACCCTCCTGACCCTGGGTTACAGATAACAGTGCAGCACCCCAAAACATAACACTTCCCCAGTACCCCAAAACAATCATCTTCGGCACACCAAAACATAATCCCACTTAGCACCCTAATATACAATCGTACTGCAGTACCCCATATCAATAAGACTAAGTTGGATCTCTCTTCAGACACAAGCCTGATTTATCAGACCTTATATAGAACTGAAGTTCTGAAACACCTATAGCAAAGAAAAACCTAAGTCTTATATGCATTTCATTTCTGCATCATGGATCAACAACATATAGATTCTGTCATCCAGGGTCGATTACTTGAGATTCTCACCTCCCACAGTGAGGGTCACAGTGCTGATGGTGTTGAAGGTCCCTCACTGTGTAGTTGCCCTGATCAGCTGGAGTGAGGGAGCGCAGTATCAGAGAGCCGTCCCGGACTGACACTCTGTCTCTGTACTGGGGGACACAGCTGGCTGTGCTGCTCTGGACAGAACACACTGAGGTCCAGCTTCCACCTCCTGCAGGATCAAACAGCACCTCCACTCTCTCTCCAGTGAACAGAGGGAGAGACAGACAGATTCCAGGCTGCCAGATGACAGTGTCTCTGTGAGCTGAAAGACAATCAGGACAGAGGATGATATAAGAACACACTCTGTCAAGAATATAGAGCCCTCTAGTGACCCTACTGTAGACCTGCACACCGCCCACAGTGAGGGCGAGGGGATGGGGTTATCCCCAGCAGAGTCCTGGACTGTCTTTGTCAATCTAAAATAGGTGAATTAAAGGTTCTCTGAACTTGGATGCCACAGTGGTTTGAATCATTGTCATGCACTTGTAGTATCCTCTCATGAGGCACCAGTAATGTAGGGGTTGTGCATTTACTGGGACAATTCTTAATTGTGGCAGTAAGTCACAAAATGATTAT